GCTGCTGGACACACACTCTGGGCCCCAGCAGAGAGGCTCCTGGGCCTGAGCATCTACGGCATCTTCTCTGATCGGCTTCTAGGGCACTAAAGAATGTGCTTGTGGCATTTACACCAGCAACACAGCTGGACAAGCCTGCTGTCCCAGTGCTGTGGAAAGGGACGTGAGTTGTCACCAAGACAGACTCCAGTGGGGAGTTACAGGTACACTGATGCAAGTAAACCTGGAAATAAGGTTGGGCAGGTAACGAACACACAGGCTGAGCGCTCTCCCACACTCCCACGTGGGCACACTACACACGGATGCACATGGGCTGGATGAGGGGCGCAGGGGGAGAGCACACGGCTGGCACCCGTCACTCTCTGGGGTCTGCAGACAGCAGGAACATGCCCAGGAGGCCATGGTGCAGAACCCTGGTGGTGAGCAGGGTCACCGTGTGGGAAGCACACATCTGCACGGAGAGCACTAGTGACAGGGCTGACAGCTCATCCTGTGGAGGGCCGTCCCGTGCTATGTGACACTGACCCACATCCCTGAGCTCCGCCCACGCTATCAATCTCACTCAGGCTCTGCGTCCTGAGTGTAACAGGAGAGCTAAGACACATTCACAGGTTTTCTGATGCGCACAGTCACCGATGCCCGAACACCCCAGACCCAGCTGCTGCAGTGGACACAGAAGCTCCTGAGTGACCAGGAGCCCAACATGGACAAAGACCACAGAGCTGCCAAGTTTCCCTGCCCTTCAGACTGAAGCAGAGTGACAGACACTCCTCCAGGTCCGCCCCGTCCGTCGTGCACACGCTCGCCTTGCTCCACTACCACTTCTCAGGTGTCACAGGTGTGCAGAGCTGCTTCGTGACCTGTGGTGACACCACGGCAGATGGGAGCACCAGAGCCTGGGGACCTTCAGCTAACCCTGCACTGCACCCCAGCTGTGCCTCTGTCCACAGGCCACTGCCACGGGCTCCTCCAGGACGCCAGCTTGGAAGCTCCGTGCTCAGAGCTCGCAGAGCCCAGGAGACACTTGGGGGATTCAGGTTCTGCAGCCTCTTGTTAGTTCGGAGACACAGAACACAGGCTCAGGGTCATCTCTCTCCACAGAGACATACAAAACACTACAAACAGGAAAGCGTTATGTGAGTGAGAGTGCTGGACGGGGCCCCATCAGCTCACTAAGGAGGAGGAGGAGGAAGCGGGATTAGAGCAGCGAGCCGCCAGGAGAGGAAGGCAGAGGCTGAGCAGGGCTACAGCAGCCGGAAGGGCTCCCAGAGTCAGCGGGAATCAGGGCCGGGGAGGAAGCGTGTTCTCTCCAGCCTGCACACGCTTGCTGTCTTGTGTTACACGGCTCTGCCCTGTGTTTTCCAGTGAAATTTCTATTTTATTATTTCTTTTCCTTTTTATGTTGTTTTGCTATTGTCATGGTTTATGTCGGTGGCCCCCAGGCCTCATGCATTTACATTATGCATCTGTGATTGGTTCACTGTCCAGCTCTGGGTGATGGTGTCAGTGCTAGGCCTGCCTAGGCGTGGAGCCAGCACACAATGGAATGGCAGGAAGAAGGTGTGTCTCTCCCTCTTGCCCATTTCGGCCTTGCTGTTTGCAGCCACCATGAACTGCGGACCCCCATGCTACCCTGCCTTGGAGCCAACTGAGTATGGACTGAAACCTCCAAATACTGTAAGACATAAACCTTTCCTTTCCCAACTTTGGTCATCAGGTATTTTGTCTCAGCGACGAGTAAAAAGTAACTAAGACAGCTATGCAGTTCGAGCTTTACTGGAGCTCAGCATGCAGCCCAGGCTGGCCTCTAACTCACACCAAGCTACCTGTCTCCGCCTCCTGAGTGCTGGGGCCACAGGTGTGAGCCACCCCCAGCTTTACACCTTTTCATGGTGACAGAAGTCAGAGAACATGACCACTGCAGCGGACCTCTGTACAGTGTCAACAAAACAAAGTCAGAGCAGAACAAACACACTCCAAACAAACATCCCCTCGGCAGGGTTCCCTTTCCCAAACAGCAAGGCTACCTCCCCTGGCTGGCTCGCTGTGGGGAACCTGATCAACAGCACTCAACAGGGGACGACCTGAGGGATGCCGCCTTCAACACAGGACTCCACACAGATGGGGAAAGGAGCCACAGACGCTGTCTGAGTTACATGGGAAATCACTGTTATCAACCCAAAGAAGGCTGAAATAACATGTACTGCAAATGCACACAATAGCCCTGATTAAACAGCAGCACTGACAAGCCTTCTTCAAACCTGTTCGACACACATTCCTTCACCTCTGTTCGGGGATATTAATGTAACCCATGGACAAATGCATAATAAAATACTAAATATGTCATGAAAATTATGGAGGAAAGTTAACTGCAACCACTGGCCCCTCGCCCTGGCGTCCAGCAGCTGACAGAGCAGTGACGTGGGACTGCTGTCCCCCACCATGAGCAGGGGCTGCACCATGCACCACTAGTGAGGGAGGTAAATAACGTACAAAACTGCAGATTTCCACCAAACGTGTTTCTGTTTTGTTTTTAGTTCTAAAGATGTAACTCAGGGCATCCAGCAAGTTACACTGCAGGGACATCCCACAATGTTTACTCCACCCCGACACAGACTCCTGCTCAGCTGTCGGCTGGGCCTGGTGTCCCCATACTCCCACCTCTGCCCCCAAGCAGCTGCCACCGAGGCTGCACCGCCCGCCGCACTGGTGCTTTCTGTCCTCAGCGACGGACACCTGGGAAACCACAGTGGTCAGAGAACCCAGCCTTGAGCCAGCTAAATGTCACACGCCTGTCTTCCCAGCACGAGGCAGGTGGTCACACTATTAAAAGTCTCCTGAACCCAGGCAACTGAGTCACAACAGGTCTCAAAAATTAAAAAACAAAACAATGCGGGTTATGGAGCTCAGGGCCACGTTTCTACACTCAGCCACCAAATGATAAACAACTTCAAACACATCTTGAAATCTCTGTACCCAGGAGAAACCCTTCACTGTTGAACTTCAGTGATGATGCTCACCCTGCTGTAACCCTGACGAGAACACAGTCCCAATTTCCCTTTTCCCTGTCAGATGATGCAGTGAGCTTAGCAGTGACACAGCAGACACAGTCACAGCCGTCACAGGCTCCCTGCTTTCCTGAAGCCTCTGACCTCGACCCACCCCAGGCCACGGCAGCCACCGTCCTCCAGTTATGGTCACCGAGGACAAGCTGACTCAGGGGACGCGGTCACCGCTGTCACGGCTGATGTCACCTCCCTCTTGCAAGCCCTGCTCCCCCACTTCCCTCCTGCTCCCCTCGGCTCCTCCCCATATAAAATCCCCTCTACTCCATTCCATTCTCAGCCTGCAGCCCTCACTCTGGGGATTTTCCTGACTTTATGTCAGAGTCCTCCTCACGCAACCTCTCAGTTTTAAATCGCCCTGCAGAAATAGTACAGGACGACAGCAGTGACCTGAGGGTGACAGCTTGTCCTTCCCTCTGCTGTCAGTGTCACACGCCCACGTCCACGCAGAGACCCCAGCTCCGTGTGTCTCTCGGTGTGGGTTTAATACTCAGCACTTTCAGAGTTGCCCTGAGGAAGAGCCCTTTCCCCTGCCTTGCTGGTAGCCAGGATTTCTGTGGTGTCACAAACAGGAGAAAAGAAACTAAAGGCTGCAAAGTGTCTTGGCCAGGTGAACTTTCCTGCAGCAGCACAGAGCACAGAGTGACAAGGGCCAGCAGGCTGACAGGCCGCCTGTTACCCTGACGGTCACTGTCTTCCTGCCACTGGAGGGAGTGAGTTTCCTGGTCACCCCCAACTGGCTGCACCATAGGGTCAGAGTTCTCGGCTGATAAATTTGAGGATCTGGAAAGCTGTTCATTGCAACATTTTATATCAGGTTAACAGATAACCCTGGTGTCAAGTTTTCCAAGAACTGTGAAAAAAGCTCATGTACATTTTACAAAAGACAGAATTACAAAACAAGGACGCCTATGAAGTGAGTTCTTAGGGTTATCTTCCTCATAGAAAACACTACCTCTTCCCACACTGCTAAAACATTAACATGCACACCAGTTTGCTCGGCATGCTAAACTCTCTGGAAGGCCTTGTTTAAACAGCCTGATTGTAAGGAATACCTTGTTTTGCTACCTTATGAGTAAAGTACCTCCAGAAAATGGCCTGAGGTGGAACTGTGTAATCAACCACACTGATGAGAATTAAAGTAACAAGACGTAGCCACCTATAGACAGAGACCAAGATCCAACTTCCCCAGGGAACAAGAAATGCAGCCTTCCCTACTGCAAGGAGTTGTAGCCGCTCCCTACCAAGCTTCACAGGTCCCAGGTAATTCAAGTGCAAAATGACCCTTTTCCTCTAAAATTCCAGTTTCCTTCAAATCCTACACAGCCAAAAAAAAAAAAAAAAAAGGTTTGAGAACCTGAGTTTCAAATGGTCACTTTCAATATACAGAGTCACCTGTGATCAGTGGCTGTTAAATGACCCATGAGGGAGCTGTGGTTATCTGCACTTAGCTCTGGATTGAGCAGCCCCCGTTCTCCCTCTCCGGTGGCTTCCAACAACCACCGAGCTATTCTGATTGCCGTGAAAACTCTCCTGATATTGGAGCCACTCAGACTCCTAAGGAGGATTGGAAAGGGACTGACCCTTCGGAGAGGTAGAAGAGACCTGGCCTCTGGGGCCCAGCAAACAGTGAGGTAGACCGCCTACAGCTTCACACCTGTGTCTGTGTAGCTACAGCCTCTCCTCTAAGCTCCCCCTCAGCAAGCACTTCCCCACAATAAGTTGCTAAACTTGTTGCCGATAATTTCCCTGCAGCCCACCAAACCCAAGAGCCCAGCAAGAACTGCAATATCCAAACCACACAGTGATGCTTGGAAGGGGTGACCACGGGGACCCATCCTGTAAACAGGACTGCACCCCAGATTTTTTTTGGTAATATGGTTCTGAGTGGCCCCAATTCTCTCACACACTAGCTTATACCACTTCTTGCAATACCTGCAATACAGTTGTCCTTGGAGCATGCCTTCCTGCCTCTTTTTCTCTGCGTTGCAGAGGCAAGCGCCGAGCAGGGAGTTGGCAGCCTGGAGACCCGGAGCCTGTGGAGAAAACACTGACCTTCTCCGTCAGGCTCAGGACCTGATTCTACAAAGCTGTGTGACCGCAAGTCTGTTCACTATCGCTGTCAGAAGGGGTCTCCCATAACTAGCTCTAAGTAATAATTGTTTGGGTTGCTGAGTGTGCCACGAAGGAGTTCACCGCACGCTTGGGAAGCTCTCCTCCCGCGTCACCTGCAATGCTAAAACTTGTTTGGCCATTAGCACCATCTAGTGTGAGGCTGGCAATGTGGGGAAACACTACAAACTCCGGACTTCTGAGGAAAGGAGGTGGGTCTGAGACCCTGCCTTGCAGATATAACCGTCACATCCCCAGCTCTGCTACTGAAAGCACCGAGACCAGGGACCCAGCGCCCGCAGCCGCACCAGCTCCAGGCCGCCCTGAACCAGGGCCGCCCCGAGCCCCGCTCTCCCCACACCGCTGAGGCGCTGCTGGGCCACACCGGACGGCACCGTGGGCGGGCAGTGTCACGGTGGGGACCGACTCACGGACACGGCGGTGACCCGGACCCCGCCGAGGGAAAAGTGGCAAAAGCCCCAGAGCCCGGAGGACCTCGGGGTCCGGAGCTCGGCGGGAGGCTGCGGCTCCCAGAGCCGGTTCTGGCCGCCTCCTCTCAGACCTCAGCCCGACCCCATCCCTTCCCCGGCTTCCGTCCCGCACCATCACCACTGCGCGGCTTCCCGGTGTCCCCGAGTCCTTCCCACGCGGCCTGCAGCCGGCAGAAGTCCCCGAAGGCGCTCTATGAACCCAGCGATCTTGCAGCACTGTGACACAGACAGGGAGCCATGACACCGGAAGTCCCGCCCACCTCGGCTCGCCTGATTGGACGGCTCGTGTAGCCTTCCACCTCGGCTCGCCTGATTGGACGGTTTGTGCAGCCGTGTCTTCTTGGCTCCCTGGCTACTGCTAGCTAACCCTGAACATAGAAGAAATAAATGCCTGCCTGGCTTAGTAGAGCTCAAATGACTTTCCCACAGTAACTTCTGGACAATGCTGTCTTCTCCAGTGTCAGCCTCAGCTCACCTAAAATAATTGCATCGAAGCAGTTTACTCCTGGCTTTGTAGCTTTGCCCCGATTTCCTTAAAAGACTTAGTGTGCTCCTCTTAAAGTGCACTCACTTGTGTGCACAAATCTTTCACGGTCAGTCCTAGGATGTAAGAGGACATCATGAGTGCAGGACAGGACAGGACCGAATGAGATAGAGGGCGGGCTGGCCTTTTTGCCTTTTTGCCTTTTTGCAGGTCAATATTTGGAAATGACGCAGCAGGCTTCTCTTTCAAGATTTTCACACTGTCTCAGTCCACTGACTTTCATTCAATACAATGAGTATATGCCTGCAAGAAGGAATACATTTATCATGCAGGTGGAGAAATGAGAGTTAAATGATAGCTATATTCTGCAAAATAGTAAAGATGAAACGAAAGCAAACATTCTTATTTCCTAAAAGAAGCTTCATCCTGAGCAAAAAACATCCCCAAATGTTGAAAGTGAATATATTGCCAGGCATAAAGGAAAGAACGATTGGTATAATGGACCACAGCCTTGGTCAAGTCCCGGTGAAAAGGCAGAGATATTTAAGGGTCTCAGACTGTAGCTTTTCCTGCCCAGCAGATTCCTCTTTACCTGTTGAATTCCTCCACATGTCATCACTAGTGAGGTGGGGTCGTGCACAATGTAGGAATCCAAGCAGCCAAACTGATAAATTTGGAATTTAACTAACTGAGTTCAGCAACCACTTGAGTGGACCCATTTCAGAGTCTCACTGAGTGGCCCTGCACTGCAAAATTACAAAGCTTTTAAACAGAGAACCACAAAAAGACATCTGTTGGAAACACTTCAGGTAACATCTTACGTTAATTTTTGGTTGACATCTGTGTCCTGTTTCTTTTGTTGAGCAGGTTGATTTTTCCTCTGGGCACAGTTCATTCTGCTTTTCTCATGGGATTTGTATTCTAAGTAATTTTCCATTCTCCTGAGTCAAATACAGGGCACTAGTTAAATGCAGGGCTCAAATGGCATCAGTTAAATAAAAAAAAGATGGCACCAGTTATGCCAAGCCACAATGACTAGTATCCTTAGAAGAAATATCGTGTGGAATCCTGTGACACACTTGTTACTACTGGATGGGCCTGAGTGATGTGTACAATACTTGCAGAGCACACCTCTAGGTGTCTGGTTAAGTCAAGATCGTGTCACCTGATGGACAAAACTGCCCCGGACCCCTTGAGGCGGCATGCCTACTCTCTGACTCTTATAATGTCCTTACAGTTTTCTTCAGGTATGTTTGCTGTGATGCTTCATTTTGGGAAGAAATCAAACTCAGACTGCCATCTTTGAAACAATGGAACATATTTTTCTTGTTTTTCTTTTGTACAGCTAGCTATCAGAGGCCAGGCTTTGGTAAGTAGGTAAGGTAGGTAAGTAGGTAAGGCTTGCCTAGACTTACTTCTTTGGAGGTGCAGCTTAGTGGGTACCAATGAGCCAGCCGCCCACCTCCACAAACTTCACAGCTGAGCTATTATTGTTGAGGTTTGCCTAAGCTCCGATGTTGGCTTTTTGTGCATGTTTGTAAAGACAGGGTGTCATTTTATAGTCCAAGTTAGCCTCAAACTCACTCTCCTCTTGCATCAACCCGTTGAAAACAGGTTCCCGGGTTGCGGGTTTAGCTCAGCGGCATAAGCACTGAGCTGGCAAGTGCCAGGTTGTGAGTTCAATCCCCAATACCAAAAACAAAAAAAAAAAAAAAAAGAAAAGAAGAAAACAGGTTCCCAGACTCAAGTTTTTGGTGCAGATAATGAAACACTCAGACATTAAGGAGTCTTAACAAGGCTTTTACCTTTGCTAAAGGGTGCAAACACATCCCAGCAATCAGGTAGCAGATGCACAAACCAGACAGAGAATCAGGAATTTTAAGTCATAATGCGTGGAAAGCAGCTGTATTTAAATTCATTGTCTGAGTTGAAAGACTTACAGTCTATCCTGGTTGGTGTCTGTCTTGGTTACTTTTCTCTCATGGCCGGGACAAAATATCTGATACCCAAAATTAAGGAAGGAAAGGTTTATTTAGCTCACAGTTGGTGGATGTGTCAGTGCATAATTAACTGCATCCACCACAGGGTATCATGTCACAGGGCAAAAGCTCTAGCTCAGGAGCATAAGCGCCTGCCTTGCAAGTGCGCGGTCCTGGTACATAAATAAATAAAAAGCAACAAGAGCAAAAAGCGGGTAAACAAGCCTCTTTCCCTCCCTTATATTGTACACAGGCCACCCCCTCGACAGGGCAGGTGCAGCACTCACACCATCCCCGAGTCCTCCTGTTCAACAGGATGAGGATGTTTAGGATGTAAGGACCCCTGTTCGGTGCCTTAGTTACATTTCTAAACTCCTCAAGTAGACACAATGTATCAACCATAAGAACATCTCACTTGGCACAAGGGTGGAGATGGTGCAATTGCGGGGTGAGTTGAAGAGAGGTCACTGAGGTTTAGAAGGAAAAGTCCTTGGCTCTTATCTTGGAAACCTGTGTATTCTGGGAAAAAGTACCCAGTCACCGTTTCTTGGATTTCGGGATATTAACATTAGGGAGCGGGGACTGAATAAATGATCAAGTCATTTTAATACAAATTTGAGTCATTTGGAGCCTATTTCTCATAAACCACAACTGCTGGCCTTGCAGGCTTGCACCACCTCAAGCAACTTTTGAGTTCCACATCTTGTCAGAAGTTTTCCTATCAGGTGCATGTGCGGTGCTGGTTAAGAGGGGAGTGAACCGCTAACACCACCCCCTCCAGCCCTGGAGTCCGGCTGACCCAGCGGCCCCGCCCCCTGGAACTGCGGCGCAGGCGCACTGGAGCAGGCGCGGCAGCGCAGGCCAATGACGCCATCAAACCACGCCCGCGGGAATCCTGTGTGAGACCTGTGACCTGAGGGTGAGCAAGTGTCGTTTTTTGATCCCAGCAAAGCTTTCTAGGTGGTCCTGGGTTTTCTGTCTCCTTGGTGCAGTTGAAGCCAGCAAATTATCAGTCGTGGACTTCGCGGAGAGCTGATGCAAAGCTTTTACCAAAGCGCTCGACCTGAGGAAACTGGAGAGCAAACTCTGAGCCCCGCTTCTCTGGCTGTGATTTTTCACCCCAGCCGGCCAGGCGGGGGAAGGCCGGAGCTTCCCTCCCGGCTAAGGAGAAGCTCTTCTCTGCTTGTCTCCCCTCTTTAGATTCTCTTCAACAAGTATGACGGATGTTTACGGTGGTTCTTGGATCTTACACCCTAAGCGCAGTCATTGATTTATTCTAGCAGCTCTCTTGGCAGGTGCCATAGGATTATTTCCATAATCAGGTTGGTGGTAGTGTGGGAGGCAGCTTCACAACAGAAGTTGGGAGGAAATCTTACTACGTTCGTTGGCTGATGGGGATCACTCTCAAAGCCTAAGCTCAGCACTGCGCTCAGGTTAGGGTTTCTATAGCTTCTGTAAGCCGGAAGAGATCGTGGGAGTTTAGGACAAACCTTAGTCATCAGTTACTAAGCAGGCAACTCTTGGGACAGGTTGGTGGGAAACAATGTGATCTGGGCTTAGGAAGTACAGATAGTGCGGCTGGCTGCACCAGCCTTGTCTTGGTTTTATGTTTTTTGTAAAGAATGTTTTTAGACTGTTAAATATATGTTTTTTGTAAAGAGTATATTTTGTGATTTTGTTGTATTAGCCAGAATGAGCTCTTCTCGTCTCGATGCAATAGGCAGGGAGAGTTTAAAGTTTTAAATTTTTTTATGGCAGGGCTCACTTTTATCACTTCCTTTCCGCTTTGGTATTCTCAGTCCACTGGTCAAAAACAACAAAGCAATATCGAGCAGGCGTGGTGTCTTGATTACTTTTGTCTCTGCTGAGACAGAATACCCACCACTCAATATTGAGGAAAGAAAAGTTTATTTAGCTTTCAGTTTGTGGAGGTTTCAGTGCATCATCAGCTGGTTCGAAGGCAGGTTGGCTTGGCAATGGGGCAAGACTTCAAGGTAGCAGCCAACAAAAGCAACCAGAGCAAAAGGGGGAAGAACAAGCCTCTTTTCCTCCTTTTTGTTGTACACAGTCCCCCCATCCCAGGGCCAGTGTAGCACTCACAAAATATCTTTGCCCTCCTCTTGCACTAAATGAGGATATTTACAAATTAAGAATACTGGCTCTCTGCTGAGTCTCTTTAACTTTTAAACTGCCCAAGTTGGCACAATGTATCAACCATAACAAGTGGTAAGGGCAGCCTATCTTTCTTATCTTAGGTAGAAAGCATTCACTCTTTTACCATTAAGTGTGATATTGACTGTAGGATTTTTGTAGATTCCCTTTCAAAGGTTATGGATGTTTCCCTTTCTTTTGTATGTGATGAATTTTCATCATTAATGTTACTAAATTTTTCCCAGTGCTTTTTGTGTGTGCCTAAAGAGAATTGTTTGTTTCTTCTTTAGACGTGTTAAAATGCCATTCAATTCACAGTGCATGTGGGACTACAGATGCTGAACAGAATCTACCTGTTGTCATAAAATGGAAGAAGCAGAGCAGGGCACATGTGCAAGATAAGATACCAACCTTAGGGTGAAATGCTGAGAATTTCAGATGTGATTTTAATGTGATGAGGGGATCTTTCACTGTCATCCATCCCAGGAACACTTGCATTGGGTCACGGTGGCCTTCTTGCCTATTCATCTCAGTTTTAAGCATAGCAGGTATTTTTGAAGGTATCTTTGTTCAACTGAGTCCTGTGCCCTTGGCATTGCTACAAACAATCCTTCTGGGTAAAACTAATGAATATGTGAAAATGGACTAGTTTGGGCTTAAGGGAGCCAGAATAATACTTCTGTGTGTGTGTTTTGGGCATGATATTGGCATAGGAGAGGGATGATGTTAAGGTGCACTAAGTAATTATCTGAGCGAGTAGTGTATGCATAGCTTTTGTGTTTAGCTTCCAAGGAAGAAACGTGATGCTCTTCTGTTAGCTCAGCCTTCAACTGAAGACCAGATTCTAAACAAACACTGGTAAAGTAACCATGATCCTCCACAAGATGGTGAGCTCTACCGAGTGGCTCTCAAATGCCGATTCCCCTTGCATCTCAGGATAACTCCTACATGATCATTGTGTATTCTTTTCCAAACAAGGGAGGAAGAGTGTCCCAAAGAATTTACCTGTGCTGTTAGGGCAGATCAAACATAAAATCAGGCTGATTCCCCCACACATCAAATATAGACAAGATGAGCTGCTGAACAAGATTGTGAGAACACAGGGATCCAAGTGGGTCCCTTGTCCCTGGCCTCCAGTGACCTGAGTCCAAAGGGAAGGAGGAAGGAAGCACACATCTATCTGGAGCATGGCCAGGTGACAGCAGAAGTGGGACATGTCACTGTGTCAAGCATCCCTGCAGCCATTTTCCTATCCAAGGTATGGTGTGGGACATCTGGATCCCACCTGACAGGAGCCACACAGGAGACATGAGACAGAAAAGCAGTCATCCCAGAATCTGGACAGCTGGTCTCAGCCCTTAGTGCCCCTCATGCCCTGCAGATGAGGGAGGACTGGGCTCCCGAGCAGGTGGATTCCCTAACTAGCAGGGACTTTGTGCAACCAGCATGGTGATTCTAACACCGTGATGACCTGTGGAGAGGAGACTCTGACTGCTGGAGTCAGCAGCTGTATGACAGAAACACTGGGATAGATAAGAGCCAATCATGTTTCCGGAGAATCCTTCAAAGAGCAGAGAACCCTTCCTTTTGGCCTTTCTGATTGAAAGTCCCAGCGAAGGATGGACATGGATCTACCGTGTGTGGTTCTGGGTCTAAGGGTTTTGCCACTGAATGAGTCCACTGATGTGAATTAGCACAGTTGAGAATGTGGCCAGCTGGACTCACTCCGGTGGCAGAAACCCCACCCTGGGCATGGAGGCACCACTCAGAAGGCTGATACGTGTGGGGGCTACGACTCCTACCCGATGTCCTGCTGTTACTCACTCCTGCCTGGGATGTCCACCGCCGGGAGTTCAGCCTTGCAGTCAGCCATCTGAGGACTGAAACCTCCGAAAACTGTGAGTGAAAATAAAACATCCCTCCATTAATTGTGGATGTCACCTATTTTGTCCCAGCAAGTGAAAAGTAACTAAGACACCAGTGTTCAAAACAAACTTCAGAAGAGATAAAGAAGATTAATCCGTACAGATGAACGGAACAGTTCACCAGGAAGACACAGCCATTGCAGAAACATAGGCGCCCCACACTGGCACACCCAGCTTCACAAGAGATCAGGTAAGACTTACACCAATGGGAGCTCAGCACCCCACATTTACAAATCAGTCAAGCAGCCAAAAAGATCAACAAGGGACTATCAGAGGTGAGCCCCAACTTTGTGGGGTTCTTTTTTTTTATTTAAAGAGAAACAAACAAAAAAAGAATAGCTAAAAAACGGGTAGAAATAATACAGAATTACAGAAAAATAAACAGTAAATCACTAGTTGATAAGTTACATATTGTCATCTTAGAAATAGTTGTTCAGGTTACAAAATTAAAGTGATATTCAAATAATGACACTGCAAACAGTTCTGCTCAATGATCCAACAAAAACTTAGTAATATGGTTGTCAGTCCTACACACTTGTTTTTTATCTTAAGGGTAAGATTAAACATATCAAAACAGTTCATAAAGAAACAATGTTTATGGGGTTATTATTTAAAGAGAAAGAAAAAAACAGAAACAAAGGTAGAAATAATACAGAATTACAGAAAAATAAGAGGCCCATCTTTGAAGGAAGAGGTTTTCCATTATAAAGAGTTTATCAAACAGCAGTGAAGTAAACAAGCATCTCAACAGTCACAGCTCTTTCTCTAAAATGGGGCGTGCAGTAAACCATAAACCTTGCTTACAGAAATACAAAAGATTCGGTTTCATCTCATGCACAAAAATATTCCTATCTTTACAGAGCAGCCACTGAGCAAGACAACAGAGAGTTACAACCTCACCACACCAACCATTACCGTGGTAGCTGCACATCGAGCAGGCTCTGCCCATGTTGTTCCTGTCAGGTCTTATTTTTGGTGAAACACGGTAGTTCCATGAAATTCTAAGTCAGCACTGAGAGAGACCACTGCGATTATGTGTACTTGGAGAATGAACAGTACACTACTGATTAATCAATTGGTCACAGGAGAAGTTAAACCTTTTAGAATTAATAATACTAGAGCCAACTAGAACTGTGGGTCATAAAGAATGTACACCAAAGAATAAAATCGATAACTGTGACACCTCGCATTAAAAATTGTTCATTCCAAAATTATGGGGTGTACACATCAAGGTCCTACAGAAAAAATTTTAAGTCCAAAACTAGATGGGTCAGTGTGCGTCTGGGGCAGACAGAGCAGCGTGTCTCTGGAGTCTTCTCTATTCTGTTCTTCTCCATTTTCTGCATTAACTTAGAGCTGTCAGGATGAGGCGTTCCTGCAGCGTGTCCTTGGTTGGCACAGCTGCCTGGGAATTCTGGCTCCATGGTGGCAAGGTCTCGTCATGCTGTGACAGTCTCTATTTTCAGAGAAGGCAGTGAGGCATCACAGGCAGATGAACGGATAGGTGATGCCTTCCTGGGCACTGATGGAACACGTGCAGATGGAATGACTCATCGTGAAGCCCAGAGCAGGAGCACAGGAGCAGGGCTTCGGGACTGAGACCCTACAGAGAGCATCTCCTACCCCCGCCTGAGCCAGATTCTCTTCAAAGGGGAAACTGAAGAAGCTCTTAGACCTGAGCCCATTACATCTGCTGCTGTGTGCAAAGCCATGTGTTGTACAATAAAGCACTACAGCCTCCCCCGGTTCTGTGTCTTCACTGAAAGCCACATCTGCCCCACCAATATCTGCTCCCTTCACCCAGCCTGTGCAACCACCTCACCCCATTCTAGACGATGATGTGGAAGCATAAAGATTGGGGGCTTTTACTGGAAAATACATTGTCCTATGTTTGGAAGAAGAATGACACAAAACTGTGATTAAAGCTTTTTAGAGACAGTAAATTTCTATATTTATTTTTTTACTAAATGAATAGGAGAGCAGAGTTATGACAGCACACATCCATAACCCTTACTCTGCGGGAGGCTGAGGCCCAAGCAGCGGAGGTTCAGGCCCAGACTGAACAACTTACCAAGAGCCTTTCTCAAAACTTAAGCCCAGAAAGGAGCTTATGGAGCTCAGTGTAAGCACCGCAGCCTCGTCATCATACCACAAAGCAACGGGAGTGAGATACACAGACTTGCTCTTCAAGCACTTAGTTGGTATTATGCTCCTTTTGTGCCCTCTCTTAAAAGTATTTGCCATCCCTGTTGGGGAATTTGCAACTCATGAACACAGAGGGCAGCCTAGAAGGGAAGAGACTGCTTCACTCAACAGTAAAATGGTGGTTATGATTGGCTGATAGTAACAATTGTTTTTTTTTCTTTTTAAATTTAAAAATAACGTTTATTCAGCATATAGTTTAAATAAGCTTATTGTAGTCAGGGGTTGGGAGGAGAACAATTAGAATCAGGACATGGAGTTTATAATATTATTTTATAATGGTCACCCAGAGTTAACATAAGAAACTGCAGGAAATTGATCCACAACACTGAAGACATAGAATATTTAGCCGAGGGCCTGAATCCCACAGCAATGTCCCACATGAGTCCAGATGAAGACTCAGAGCTTATGACAATGTCTCCCACGAGTCCATCTGGAGGTCCAGAGCCCACAAGTAGGACTCATACCAGTTTGTGTTATGGATACGCACCGGGAAGGCCCAAAGATCAGTAGTGGAAGCTAGAAAGTCTATGCCAGTGGGGTGAAGGAGCTGTGCTGGTGGATGAGGGCTCTACACTGGAGCAGAGAAGTCACACAACAAAGACCAGGGCTGTCCTGAAAAGCACCACAGCCATCCTCAGGGACATGGAGGCCCCAAGCTCCTCCAAAGATAAGCACAGTGCTTATCACAATGCAGTGAACTCAGTTATCTCAATGCTGTACTGTATATTTGGCTGTGCCACAAGACAAATCAGTGCACATATGTAAGGGGACATTGATGGGATGTCACAGTAATGAGACAGAAAGGAAGTTGGCCTCGGACAGGTGGGAGAAGCTCGTAACTGCTGAGATCTGTCTCAGGTGTTTCCCTTTGTATCTAAGATAACTTTTACTGTTTACCTAGTTAATTTCATCCTCTGCTGTGGGCCACATTTTACCAACCAGTGAAAGTTTGCTTACTCGCACAGGAACAGAGTTTAGAGTTGCCACTTTATTTCTGCTCATTTAAGCCAGACTCTTGACATGCTGAGATGTCACTAAGTCCAAGACTGAGTGATGAGCACTTCACTTGTAAGTGGATGTAAATTCTCCCTTTTATTTGAAGGCTAGAGAAGACTTGGGTGAGAAAGTAAATTACTGTTTCTAAAGCCATCCCGAATCTCACTTAGGCTTCATGTAAATGAAAAAGTTGGAGTATCGAGACTGGTTAAGTTTAGGTGGACGCTTTATTTGTGCCATTTAAAAACTTTTATATGAGTAAGTCATCTGATACCAACTGCTTGTACTTTATGCCTTCTGATCATGTTTTACCACCACCTCGTCTCCTGCATTATGAAATTATTAATCTAAACAGCCTGGTTGCCACAAGCACCAGAGTGGAAATGTCCATTGTCAGAACTGAGCTGTGAAATGTAAGCAAGCATCCTGTCTCTCAAAATGACAAAAAAGCCGGGCATGGTGGCTCACGCCTGTAATCCGAGCACTCTGGAGGCTGAGGCAGGAGGATCTTTGGGAGTCTGAGACCAGCCTGGGCTCCAAACTGAGCTCAAGGCCAGCCTGAACTGCATACAGGGACTCCATCTCAAAAAAGAAAAAAGAGTAAATAAAATGTGGCTTGTCTGAGTATAATTAACTTAGGCTACGGTGAGGTACCAATGTGCAGAGTACTAAGACTACTCAATGTATTTGTCATTTATGCTCTGACCTGGCATTACTGAAATCTGACCTCATGGTAAATGGAGCTTCTACTGAATTGAAAGGGAAAACAGTGCAGGATATTTTACAAAGCACTGCAGTATTTGGAGATAAGGAGGCAAAATAAGTCAAGGATGCCAGATGGTCTCACCCTGACAGCATGAACAAATCTTATGCTGTGTAAGTGACATCATTTTCTTTAATCACCTGACAGTGGTACTTACCAATGAAAACACTACCATAAATCTATGTCTAAATTTGAGAAAATAGAACACAAATGAATCACACCAATTACTCAATTTCTATTTTAATGACTGATTTGAGTTTTCCAGGTTAAAAAATGTATTTCCAAAGTGTAAAAGATATTTTCAGCATAGAAAAAATAGAGCTAAGAACTGACTAATTGTGAATAAAAGAAAGCACCCAATAGTGTCAAAAATCAATAGGATGAAAATTGCTGAGGATGTTCTTGCAGACAATTCAAAATCATCATTAAGGAATGTGGAGAAGTTACTTATTATAATGTATTGTATCTTCATTGAGAAAATATATAGTCCTGCTGGTCTCTGGCAGTGGGTGACTCATAAAAATAGAGATATATTTTGAATAATGAATTCCAAAATAAATCATGTAATATGAGCCTAAAAAGTAAAATCTAATGATTAAAAAAACTGATATTATAGACACATGATATTAATGTTTCTGATGTAGAGCAAAGGTGGACAAATTTATGTGCTTCCTGTGATCTGTAATCATGTTGCAATATATAGCTGTTTTTTACACTATTAAAATGTATTTGTTAATTTACATATTATTTGAAACAAATGCATGCTCAAACACATGTATAGAAGTTACTAGGATTAAAATTATAAATTATGACATCCATTTATAAAATTCTTACTAGAATAGTACACAGTATGCAGCAAAAGTTTAAATACAAACTAGTGGAAAAATAACAACACTTAAAGGAAATTCAGTTTTAGAGTCATGTTACAGCACAGTTACTTAAAGAGAAAACAAAGGAACAAACAAACAAGAAAACCCAAAATAATGAACCTAATGGTGTGTATTGAAATACAAGATACCTAACCTGCAGCTCTAACAAATAAAAGACAATTATCATCTACTTTAAGAAAACAATACTAATCTGCCGTGTCGCTGCCTACAAGGAGGCACAGATTTAAATGCAGCATGTTTTTAAAAGTAAACTTCAAATTATTTAATCCAGAAATCTACATTAACACTGAATTTACAGTATTTATACTCTAAGACATCTCTTCCACAAGTGCATTTTCTGGAGAAATAATATCTTATTCTAACATAACTCATCTTTAGGTTTAAACTATATAAAATTGATCAAAGAATTAGGAAAATTATAGCTGAGAGTTTCATACAAACACCGATAGATACAATATTCACTCTTAGATGCAGTGCAACTGAGAACTTCTGTACATCAGTTATATTAATGTTCTGCCACAGTCCTGTGCTAACATGCCACATGAATTAAGCCAAAATGACTACAGGTGTTCCCACATGATGGACATTCTTATGAACTCTACTGTGCTGTGCGAGATTTAATAAAAAATGCAAAAATGATTTCTCATATTCTACTTTTTACTAACTCTCCTGAATCTGTAGGTTTTGTGATGTTATCGTATCAATGAATTCTCACATTACCTACCCAGATTTCTTTTTAGTGGAAGTATTTTCATGTTTTTCAAGTCAATTGGAAGAATATGGATAATTTCTTTTCATTAGAATTCTTTCATATATTTCAGGTGAGGAAAATATATTCCTACATAGCTCATCCATGTTGTGAGTCTCTCCACTGTAAATTCTTTCATCTATTTATTGATACCAGTTGGACTAAAACATGCTTTATTGTTTCAAGAAAAGATCTACTCCATGTGATTCATGTCAGTATAAGTCCCTTTATAAGTTCAGATTTTAGTCTCCCTTTTGAATACTGATGATGTTACTAAAGAGGCTTTTGCTTGTTTAGTCTTTCTCCTAAGTGAGATTTTTTATGTATTTCACAATATCACTCTGTACTGACTGCATTCTCACATTGTTTACATACATAGCATTTGAAGCACGTGAGTCCATTTGTATCTTGGTCAAACACTGCATGCCGAAAGGCTTTCCACATTGCCTGCATATGCTGGGTTTCTCCACAGTATGAGTTTTTATGTATTTTAAAATGGTATGATTTACTGAAAAATTTCCCACAGTTTAATTACATTGGGTTTTTCCCCAGTGTGAGTTGTCCTATGTACATGACAATGACTGTATGTGCTGGAAGACTTTCTGTTTTTTCTTTTTTTTATTGGTACCAGGGATCAAATTCACAACCGTGGGCTTGCAAGGCAGGCACTTATGCAGCTGAGCTAAATCCCCAACTCAAGTAGTATTTTTGGGTATGTGTGTGCTAGGGATCAAACTCGACCTTGCATTTGCCAAGCAGGCACTTACACTGCTGAGCTAAACCCCCGGCCCACTGGAAGGTTTCCTATATAGCTCACATACATAGGACTTCTCTGCAGTGAGGCTTTTCATGTACTGGGCAGTAATGTATTTTTCTGTTTTCCCACATTGCTTACATACTTAGGGTTTCTCCCCATTGTGAGTCCATTAATTAATTTAGAATAAGTTTTTGTCCAAAGCCTTTCCCACATTACTTAGTGTTTCTCTAAGTGGGAGTACTTTCATGTATTCAAATATGGCTAATACACACTGCTAATGTACATAGGATTTTTACAAACTGTGGGCACCTTCACAAATTTTGCAATCTTTGTTTGCGGTGAAAGTTCTCCTATATTGCTTATATACATAGGATTTCTCCTCAGTGTTAGTTCTTTGATGTTTCACAATAACCATGTGTGCTGAAAGCTTTACCATACGGCTTACATACACAGGTTTTCTCTGCAGTGTCTTTTCATGATTTGACAATAACTTGAATTAAAAGCTTTAGCATATTGCTGGCAAACATAGTTCATACACAGTGTGAGTTTTTTCATGTTTTTTTCCTCCAATAAGCACTTGTGCTGAAAGATTTTCCACATCACTTACACACACAGGCTTTCTCTACAGTGAGTCCTTTCATGTTTTCGCCTATCATCTTTTGTCCTGAATGCTTTCTCACAGTGTTCACATATGTAGTTTCCCTGCAGTGTGACTCCTTTCATGATGTTGCCATCTATATTTTCTGCTGAAAGCTTTCCCACAATGCTTACATACATAGTGTTTCTCATTAGTGTGAATACTTTCATGAACTCGACAACACTTTTTAGTCTTCAAAGCTCTCCCACATTGCTTACATACATACAGTCTCTCTGTAGTGAGTCCTTTTATGTACTCTAATACCACTGTATGTGGCAAAAGCTTTTCCACATTGCTTACATACATGGGGTTTCTCTCCAGTGTGAATCCTTTCATGTCTTTTACATTCTGTGTTTGTGATGAAAGCTTTCCCACACTGCTTGCATATATACGGTTTCTCCCCAGTATGAGTCATTTCATGTCTTTTACATTCTGTGTTTGTGGTAAAAGCTTTCCCACACTGCTTGCATATATACGGTTTCTCCCCAGTATGAGTCATTTCATGTCTTTTACAATATGTGTTTGTGGTGAAAGCTTTCCCACACTGCTTGCATATATATGGTTTCTCCCCAGTGTGAGTCCGTTCATGCATTTGCCAGCTATATTTCATGCTGAAAGACTTCCCACACTGATTACAGACATAGGGTTTTTCCCCAGTATGTGTTGCTTCATGAATTTGACATGTACCACGTGTGCTGAAAGGTTTGCCACACTGCTTACATACATAGGGTTTCTCTGCAGTGTGAATTCTTTTATGTACTTTACAAATATTTTGTGTGCTGAACGCTTTCCCACAATCGTTACACACATAAGGTTTTTCTCCAGTGTGAATTCTTTCATGAACTCGACAACTACTACTAGTGCTGAAAGGTTTCCCACACTGCTTACACACATAGGGTTTCTTCCCAGTGTGAGTTCTTTCATGTATTCGACAACTATATTGGGTGGTGAAAGTTTTCCCGCATTGGTTACACACATAAGGTTTTTCTCCAGTGTGAATCCATTCATGCATTTGCAAGCTACGTTTTCTGCTGAATGCTTTACCACACTGGTTACATACATAGGGTTTCTCCCCAGTGTGAGTTCTTTCATGTATTCGACAACTATATTGGGTGGTGAAAGTTTGCCCGCATTGGTTACACACATAAGGTTTTTCTCCAGTGTGAATCCATTCATGCATTTGCAAGCTACATTTTCTGATGAATGCTTTACCACACTGGTTACATACATAGGGTTTCTCCCCAGTGTGAGTTCTTTCATGTATTCCACATCTATATTGGGTGTTGAAAGCTTTCCCACATTGGTTACATATATAAGGTTTCTCTCCAGTGTGAATTCTCTCATGAATTCTGCAAGTAAAACGTTTCCTGAACGCTTTCCCACAATGCTTACATACATAGGGTTTGTCTGCAGTGTGAATCCATTCATGCTTTTGCAAACTATCTCTTCTGCTGAACGTTTTCCCACACTGGTTACATACATACAGTTTTTCTGCCAAGTGACTTCTGTTATCATTAGCCAATGAATTGTTAGTGAAGGATTTTCTACATTGTTCAAGTCCATAGGTATAATCTCTAAAGTAGGGCTTTTTATGTGCCTGAGTTTCCTTTCCCGATGATACACGTATGTACATATTTACTTCACTGCGACTGCTTGCTCCACTTTGCACATCATTTGGTGTAATGATGGAAACGCTTTCACGTGGTTTTATACCAACGACTTTCATTTGCACATTTGTGTCAGGTGTCGGAGAAACCATTTCACCTTGTTGATACCAGAGTTGATACTGCCAGGACTGCTCTACCTCTTCACTTCTGTAAGAGGGGAGAGTAACAAATCAACCTCACATTTTATAGTGTCTTTATAGTACTGATTCACCACGAGGAGATCTGCTTGGATGCCCTTAAGAACACACAACCATCCCCTTATTGTGCAGCCTGCAAGACAGCTGGGATGCAGCTGTCACCCAAACAGGATTCAAATGAGAGTTTGTAATTGACCCATTTGCAATTCCCAATACTTATTTCCACATTGAGGAACTGCACCACAGCTTGCAGAGCCCAGCTCCATGCACTGCTGACCTCTGACACCTTTCCCCCAGTGACCCCATCCCCTGCCCTCCACTCAGCCCCCTCAGCCCCTCCAGTGCCTGCCTCTCTCTCTGCCACCATCTCTCTCCTGTTTACTTCTTAGCTCATATGGTGGGATTCTCTTGCAAAGAGAACATTTGATACTGAAATTTCTTTTTGACTTCTTTAATCTAACATTATGGTATCGACATTCATCCATATTTTGGCAAATGACACTTCATTCTTCTTGGCATGAATACTAAGCCATTATATGGACAGAATACATGTTTTTAACTACTAGACATTGAATCCATGGTTTTAGCATTAAGATACATGCACATGCATTTTTTTTTTATTTTGAAACAAGAGTCTCATCAATCATTAAGTTACCCAGCTAAGTATGAATACATGATCTTCCTGCCTCAGTTTACTAGAATACTAGGATTCCAAGCCTGTCCTTTTATGCCTAAGTGAATTCCATATGGCATAGTCAGTTCTTCTGAGAATGGATATTTAGGCTTATGCCAAAGCTTAGCTTTTCCGATTTGTGCTGCTACAAATGGTTATTTGAGAACCACTGTAATGTGATTATTTAAACGATTGGGGAATACACGCAGTGCAAGTACATTTGGCTACATCCCAGGAGGGTGGTGCCTTACTGTTATCCCAGCCCTTGGGAGGCTGAGGCTGGAGGATCACTCTGAGTTTGAGGTCACCGTGGACTACACAGTGATAACCTGTTTTTTAAAAGAACAGTATAGATGATAAAATACTATGTCTGCATTTTTTTTTCCTGTGGCATCTCCGTATCCATCTGCATAGACGTCACAGCACACTGACAGTCCCGCCAATGACATGGAGATGTGCCTTTAATATTTTGGAATATGAGTCATCTGTGGTTTTTGGAGGACTGCTTGAAAAGAAATCAATCAGATCAGAATAGTGGTATTCATTTAGATTTTGAATATATCCACAATATTAAATTTTTTCAAACACTGAATGTGTACATCACATTGAACTACATATAATGTCACCTATAATTTGTTTAGTATGGAAGTGGTCTTTTAAAAACACATGTAGATAGCATTAGAAATTAGATCTTGGTGCACACAAAAAATTTGTTTCATATCGTCTTGTCCTCAATGTCTGAATTCAATTTCAGTGAAAACATGTATAAATCTGAGGATGGAAAACCTTGTAAATTTTTTAATTCAAATTTTTAAAATATCAGCTAAAGTTTCACCATCACTGAGGCTGGCTTTGAACTCACTGTGTGTTCCACTCTGGCCTACCCTGGTGGCAGTGTTACTGCCTCAGTCTCCAGGTGCTGGCATTGCAGTGGGTACTCAGGCATCCCGCTAACTGTTCTCTTACTTTACCGCAACCATGGTATAAGATGAATACGAAATGGATTTCAGATACTGGAATATTTCAAATACTCAGCTGTCAGGTTAGACATGTTCAATCCACTGAGAAATTCTGTGAAGGTGAAATTTGAACACGATCTCATTTGTATAGTTTGCTTGCGTTTAATATTCTGGCATTTGTGGATCTTTCTTCTCTGATTACAAATTACCTTAGATGTTTCCTGCAGTTTCTGTACTCATCTTCAGCATGCTGGTCATCTGAGTCCCTTCCTAAAGGGTAGAAACAGGAATGTAATGACTTACTAAACATATGAAACTTGGGAGTCCAGTTTGATTCGCAGTACAGGGTGACCATTTGGCCACGTAACATTTCATGCATAACATTTCCATCTTCCCATTAAGGACACTGTGCTGATGAGCAGGAACCGAAATGGCATCTTCCTTACCTACGGCAGCCAGGTTCCTAAAGGTTTCCAGCATCACATCTCTGTAGAGCTTCTTCTGGATTGGATCCAGCAAAGCCCACTCCTCCCCGGTGAAGCTCACAGCCACATCCTCGAAGTTCACCACCTCCTGCATCATCAGACATGGATTCCAGGAAAAACAGTGAGTCACAAACATGAGGTCTCTCAACTCTACCTGTAAACAGCCCATGTGAGGCTAACTTTTCCACATATTTATGGGTGTCATGGTCATCACACAGTTATTCTGCATCCAGTTACACTTGTCTCTTGGGACCTGTGAGGCTACCCTGGAATTCGGTGCTGAAGCCACAGTGGGATGGGACAGTGCTTCTCCTGCTGGTTAAACTTAAGTTTACTAGTACAAAGTCACTAAAGCAAGCGTCACAGTAGAAGCCTTCGAATCCAAATCCAAGTGAAAAAAAGTAAGAAAGACGCGAAGAATTGCTCTGAAGCATCAAAGAAAATGCATGTTCTCTAACTTGCTGTTTAGGGCACTGATCGCTCCCTTTTCCAGTTCTGCTTACACAGTGCTATTGAATTTCTACCTTTTGTTGCTTCCGGCACTAAGTTACATGTGACCTGTGTAAGTTTACCCTGGAGAGCTCCACCCACCTTGGCTAAGAAGGGGGATGAAAGCAACCCTGTTTCTCTCCTGGGGTGTTTAGGGCATCAGAAGAGACCCAGAGAAGGGTAACCGATCTGGGCAACTGCATAGACAGTTTTGGCACAGCCAAACTAGGACAAGGAGCAGCCTGTGAGATAGAAAGACCTGGAGAGGTGGAGTGGGGAGGAGGGGCAGGCCGTGTGCAGTGACAAGCCTGAGCTTCTCTTGTGGTCCAGATGCCCCAAGACACACACAGTGCTGTTCTCACCTACATCATCCAACTGCCTGCTAGGAAGCCGGGCCTGCCCGTCCCCTCGGGCACCAGTGACAGCGCCCCTCCCCCGCATTCCAGCACTGCATTCTGGGAAAACACAGCCAGTTGCCTGTGGAGACCTGACTGCTGTTTCAATATGCAAAGAAGAACAGGCAGCTAAGGTGCTTTTATTTTCCTTCAGTTTGAAAAACCTCCCATCAGTACGCCCTGCAGTGACGCTGACCACATTCAGCACGGGGAGCAGGTCCACGCACCCCGCATGGCCTCCTCCTTCCCCACCCACTTCATCTCCCATCTCTTGGCCTCCTTCCCGTGAGCATCAGCTCAGTCTCCCCAGATCCTTCATCTGTCTTCACTGTGCTGCTCCACCGTCTCTGCTTCTTCCTGTTCATCAACAATTTCCAAATACTACACATGATAATCTGGAAAGCTAGTGAAAACCTTTACAGTTTCTGTTGGAGAGTGTCTTAGAAATCTGAAACTGGATTATGGAAGCCATGCTGTCCTGGGGCTCAGTGACCAAAAAGTTGGCCTAAGGAGACAGATGGGGATGGACACGATGCCATGTGTATGACACGTACTGATCCCGGCACTCTGGAAACTTAAGAGGGATTGATAATGAAAGGAAAAACGGACGAAAAAAGTCTCAGTTCAAATATGCCTGTAAATGCGACAGTTTCTTTAATGTACGGTTTCAAAATTCACTGAGAAGGGCACTGCTCTATTATTACAGAAAGTGACACACAGCCCTCGGCACAGGAAGACAGTCGGTGACGGGCTCATCCATAAATAGAAACTGCCTTACTTTCATTCCATGGATGAGAAAAAAAATGCCCTACATGCAAAATTAAGGGAGCAAAGTGTCATTTTGGCTCATATTTGTAGATTTTAGTGCAAGACTTGCTGCAAAGTAGGGAGGCGGGGCAGAGGGGCATCGCGGAGGAGAAGCAGCCCACGACACACAGGCAGAGGGCAGCAGAGGCGGGAAGCAGCAGGCGGTGAGTGAGAACAGCCGCTGCCCTGACGCTTTATCCATGACGGGAGCACTGACGCTGCATCCTGGCATCTCACCGTGCACAGCTCAAGTGACAACTGGGTGCTATTAATAACAACTCCCTATTTGTAACATAGTCAGAGACTGGAAAAGTAACGAAATTAGGATTTATTGAACTTTACACTATAGATAAATAAATGCTTAGACATATAGAAGTTGTCAAGTCAGGTACTAACAAAAGGGGGAGACTGGAAAACCAAAGAGGCTATCAAATGCAGTGTGAATCTAAGACTTCCTTTCCCACATGCATCACACGGGGGGCTTACAAGCGATTCCTCGGAGCCATGAATATACTGCTCAAGATGCAGTTTTGAACAGTTTGCAATATATATCAGCAATTCCCCATGGTGACTATGTTTACTACATATTATAACCATATGCTAATAAAAAGATTATAATAAAAGACATTCACAGTAAGAATGGTCTCACCTGTGTGTAACTCAAGAAAAGTTTAGATAACGATACAGTACACTTAACTACATTTATGCACAATTCAACTGAAAACTGCTAAGTATGTGCAAAACATGGGGATCACACCATCACACTGTAGCTAGGAAGCAGGGCCTGCCCTTACCCTCGGGCACCAGTGACATCGCCTCCCCCCCCTCCCGCATTCCAGCACTGCATTCTGGGAAAGCTAGGCAGACAGATCTTCAATTCAGAACAAAGCATTCCCTACTCAAGTACAGTGGGAAAGAGAAAATAATCTCGCTTCTTGGCAGGCAGTCCACTGATGAAATGGATGCTTAGACCGAGTCAGGTCCCAGGTCCCATGCACAGCAGCACACACACTCACTCACAGGAAGGTGGTATTTATCTGATTAAGATACGGATGTCTCAGTGTGAGAAACCTCTCATAAAATTCATCATAACAATCTACAAAGTAAATCCTCATCTGATTATCTCTATCTTGGCATGAACCTATTTTCAAAATCTCAATTTATGTTGCTTCTCAGATTCCGCCAAAGAAGAAAAAAATGAAATGGAACCTCATGCCTTGGGAAGAGACAGAGGACCGAACTAGCCCATGAGTCCTGAATGAAGGCACTGTCCGGATGCTACGTTAAAATCAGAAAAAGGAATGTCTGCTGTCTCCATGGCTCAGTCCCACAAGATCACAATCAACAGTGGCGTTACAGGGCAGAAACCAGAAATTAGTAACATGAGCAATGAAGAGAAAACTCACTTTCCATAAATGATTTAAGAATCAAGATGTAATACGTTAGGAGAACCGTGCTGCCAAACACAAAGTCAGCTGGAAAAACAATCATCAATGTTCCTCATGGCCTTAACATTCGCCCAGACTACGACCCTTTAATGATGTTATCATCATCAAAAGTAAATTCTGAAGAAGTCATTCTAAGTCATTGAGCTCTCACCCTCAAAGCACCATAAACACACAGAACCATGGCTCATCTTTTTACAATCAGGCCGGACATAGCAACATTCACTGAAACGCCACGGAAACTCCATTTTGTTGGAAAGTGCTGGCATGACCGGGCAGGATGCTATGTAGTTAATGACACAGCCAGAGAACAGCGATGTGCGCTGACCCCACGCTAACCCTGGCGTGGCCCAGGCTACCTGGCTGCACTCTTCACCGCAGTGAACGCCGCCTCTAGTGTCCAGAGAGATTGTTTGCAGTTCTTTGTCCCCCAGTGTTTGTGCGCAGCAGACTTTGGTCTGTGACAGAGCAAGGTCAGTAGTACGCTCTTCCTTTCCACTTGGAAAAAGATCTCAGTTGCCTGAGTATCCTCCCAGGCGCATGTAGAACTCACCATGTTAGGAAACCCTCGTTTGCAACCGACAGACCGTGATCCAGTAGCTTGTGCACCACTCCTGGCTCCACGCTCCGCAGTTTCTATGTTCAGCTCTACAGAAGCACAACTACTGATACCCACAAAGATGTTTCCTGTCTCACTGTAAAATGAGTTCAAACTTCAATGCCTAAAAAGACAGCTATAGTGTGTCCTAGCAGGCGTTTTGGCCAGAAATTCTTACAAAAGTCTACAATGCCAGTGACAAATTTCAGCAAAGCGGCAGAAATACCCTCCGACTGCTTTAAATACGGAGCGATGCCTTTAAAGTGCTATGTTATACCCCAGAATATAGTGATTATACACCACAGAAAAGTAATACATCAAGTACATGAGACAGAATAACCCAGAACATGTTTACAATGGCAAGCAGGGAGACTCAGAGCCTGCACTGCGGGGCGTTTGCAGGTCTGCAGCACAGACCCGAAAACGCGCGGTTTAGCACAGCTGCTGAAGGCAGCTGAAGGCCACCGGGCCTTGGCACAGAGTCCATGATCAGAGGCAGGAGGGGCTGTGGCTTTGAGAGGTAGATGGAGGAGCTGTGCTGGGTACAGCTGGCCACTGCTGAGCGGCTACGGTTCAGCTCCACCATGAAGGATTTCTGTAATCTCAGCACCCCACTGCACAACCCTGAGCAAACTCTCAGATTAGTTCCTAAATTTCCTCCCCAGCAGGCCTGCTGAAATATACAAGAATTTGGCCCATTTATATTCTGCAAGTGTTGGCATCCACGTGTGAGCCCACCCACCCCATTACACTGCCTCTTGTACGGCTCCTTGGCCGGTGTAAAGTCTCTGATTCCATGTGCAATACAAATACACAACCAGCCATTTAACTGCTAGTAAATGTGTGACTACTGTGCTTTTGGAAACTCATTATCCTTAAAACAAGTTCTTACTTCGGCTTGCTCCTGTCCTTCATCCTCCCATTCTGTCTCTTGCTTTCTGAGTGCAGTACTCGGAGGGTTGTCAGCTTCTGCTCTCCTTCCATGCAGAATTGGTGTGAGGTTGTTACAGCAGGCATCACCACTGGGGTGCAAGCAGTAGAGGTGCTCTTCAGCCTCCACGCGAAATCCCCAGATTGCAACTGGCCAGAGCTCTGTTTGTCATGAGTAGTCACACAGCGTGTGGTCCTGCAGGGCCAGCTGGCTTCTTACTGGACACTTCTGACTAGCACAGGAGTCGAGTTTCCAGACATCAAACCTCGGGGACCAAAGCTTTGCCACTGGGTCCTGTGTGGGACTCCTGAGTTGCTGAGGGCGACACCTGCTGGTGATGCTGTTTGTGCAGTAACCAGGAAGGGCGACCCTTCCTTTCCAAGCCACTCCTGTCAGCAGCTGTGCTTGAGAATAAAGAGCTGAAGCCAGCAATTCTGAAGCAGCTGCATTTAGTCCTCAACTTTCAGGCCTCAGAGACTGCCGCGCCCTGCTCTTCCACAGTGGAGAGGAGGGTGTGACCTGCCAGGCTGCCCAAGCTCAATGTGCTCAGGTCTCCATGCTGGCCTCCGTCACCTGATCTTGCTGCACAGTTTAAGGTCATGGTGTCAGAAATGGGAGGCCTGCCGGACAGCCGCTGTGCCAGCCATCCACAGAGGAACAGGTGTCTCCTATGAGGACTCAGGAGCGGGTGCGTGGCTCCGGGTACTTGGGCTTGGTGACCCAGCTGGAGGATGGTCCTCTGCTTGGTAACGCTGCAGGCTGCCCTGAGGAAGCACTGCCATGCTAATGGGGTGTGACAAAGGAGTCTCGCCCCTGTGTAGGACGCAGGGCAGCGTGGGCCAGACGCGGGCTCTGCAGGGAGAAAGGATGCCCAGAACCACAGGGATGGCCAGGTCGGAGGGCATCAGTCACCTCACCCGAGGCCTGGCTTGTAGCTGACTCCGGGCCGGAGGAGGACTTTCAGCTGCCGCCTCAGGCCTGCCTCTCTTAGACTTCCCTTTTTGTTTTTGTCTTTTTAAGGCAGAGTCTCACGGTGCTGTTGAGGCTGCCCTTGAGCTCACTGTGTAGCCCAAGCTTGTCTCAAACTCACAGTGACCCTCCAGCCTCAGCCTCGCAGGGGCTGGGATGGCAGGCGTGCACCACCACCTTGGCTTTGTCTCGGACTTGTGCACAAACTTACGCTTTGCTCTGTTATTCAGCGAGGCCTTACCCCTCCTACCTCCATTCCAACACTCAGACGTGTTTTGAAGTAACAGAAGGACGTTTTCTCTGTGCTGTGTCAATGTAGTTGCTCTCATTTTATATACATGAGCAGCTGGCACTGTTTTGCTTTAGAAACACCCTGCAGGATTCACAGGAGCCCAGAATGGTGTCCAGACAATTTATCTCTACCCTGGGGTCCAAGTGCCTCCAGGTCTTCAGCCTGAGTCACCGTCATTTTAAATTGCGACACCAGGTGGCACTGACGGCAAGTGTTCTGCAGGGAAAGTAAACCATCCTTGGACACTAAGCAGCCTGCATGTCATATTTTTGTTTAAACATTATTCCACATTTGCACATTAACGTTTTAACTGGCTACTGTTGAACGTAAACGTTCTAATGTTGCACGTTTCCTGACATGTGCTCCTGGTCTCCATGTGACCAAGCCACTGCCAGAGGTTCCATTTCCACTCTGCAGCTGACAAGGTGTCTGTGGGGAGGACTGCAGGTCAGTGTTGGTCCAGAAGCCCAGCACAGGGCATGGGCAGCACAGACCCAAGTCCAGCAGAAAGAGGGCAGGGGCAAGGTGATGCCCACTCACCCACATGCTCCCCAGAGCTTCTGAACAGCACCTCTGGGCCCCGTCCTGTCCCCCACCCTGTGAGGAGGAGGAGGAGGTTGGGGCTGCAGACCCGCCCAGGACTGTGATTGTATGTCCTTCATGGGGCACAGGGGAGGAGAGCAGAGCATGAAATGCTGTCCCTAAGCATCAAGAGAGCAGCTCACACACTGTGCTTCCCAGGTCAGCTGGGATGACACACACACCACTGTTCCCTTCTAAATGACAAAGACGCCAACAAATTTAATAACCCCAAACCTTCAAAATTAAACCCACCCACTGTGTGCAAACAGGAAAAAGAGGATGCAGATTGGCAGGAGTGGTCCTCTGACTGGAGACCAGGAGCAGAAGAAAGGCAGTGCAGAGCCAGTGCCCTGATGAACACGAGTGCGGGAGTCTGAGAGGGAAACTCCCTGGGCCGCTTCATAGGGTGTAAAAGTCACTCAGTTTCACCTCAGAAAACACCACCAGGTTTTGACAGCGAGCAGCAGGAAAAAAATGTTTCAATGTTCTGACAATATGTTGGGGAAAAGCAAGCTGTTTTGAAAATTTTGTTTTCATGTTTGGACTGAAAAACAAAACAAAGCAAAACAAAAACTTCTGCAAAGAGCCGAATTCCTAGGACATTTACACCAACAAATGCGTTGCCAGGAGCGAAGCACCCAGGTCCAGCCACCCCAGGCTCCCACCGTAACCGCTGACCAAGGACGATGTGGTTCTGACATTCACCTCATGAGACTCATTAGGTGTTCACCCATGAACAGTAAACAACAGCAAAGTCCACGGAGGACAGGAAAACACGGGTCAGGACAGAATTACAGGGGGTTTTTTTTTGTCTTTTTTCCTTTTTATCGGTACCGGAGATCGAACTCACGACTGCCTGCTTACAAGGCAGGTGCTTATGCCACTGAGCTAAATCCCCAGCCCCAGGACGGAATTAAATAACTCACGCAAAATACATCGCAACATAAGCAGTGAATAATCACGAAGAGTCAGGCAACAGTCTGCGTTATTCCAAAAAGAGAAAAAGCTCAAATTCATGCAATAAGAAATGAAAAAGGAGAAATCACTACAGACCCAATAGAAATAAAGAGGATCATCAACACCTATTTCGAAAACCTCTATTCTCAAAAGGTTGATAACACAGAAGAAATAGACAGATTCTTAGAAGCATATGAAGTACCAAAGCTAGATCAAGACGATGTAAAACTGTTGAATAACCCAATCTCTGCTAATGAAATTGAAAATGTAATTAAGTCTTACCCACCAAGAAGAGGACAGGCCCAGATGGATTCACTGCAGAATTCTACAAGAAATACAAAGAAGACCTAATGCCGACACTTCTCAAACTATTCAATGAAATTGAAAGAGAAGCAATCCTTCCTAAGTCATTCCTGGAAGCAAATATTACTCTAGTACCAAAACCTGAGAAAGACCCAACTATAAAAGAGAACTATAGACCGATCTCCCTAATGAACACAGATGCAAAAATCCTCAATAAAATATTGGCAAATAGGATCCAGCAAATCATCAAGAAGATTATACACCATGACCAAGTGGGATTCATCCCAGAAATGCAAGGATGGTTCAACATACGCAAATCAATAAATGTAATCCACCATATCAATAAAGCCAAAAATAAGAATCACATGATCATTTCTATAGATGCAGAAAAAGCCTTCGATAAGGTCCAACACTTATTCATGATAAGAACTTTACTGAAAATTGGAATAAATGGTCTTTACCTCAATATAATAAAGGCCATTTATGACAAACCAACAGCCAGCATCATACTAAATGGCCAAAAATTGAAAGCCTTTACTTTAAAATCAGGCACAAGACAAGGATGTCGTTTATCACTACTATTTAATATAGTACTGGAAGTACTAGCCAGAGCAATTAGGCAAGAGAGAGAAATAAAAGGGGTAAAGATAGGAAAAGAAGAAGTTAAATTATCATTGTTTGCAGATGACATGATACTCTACATAGAAGACCCCCTAAACTCCATTGAAAGACTCTTAGATACAATAAATAAATTCAGTAATGTGGCTGGATACAAAATCAATACTTAGAAATCAATAGCATTCCTATACATGAACAACAAAATCACAGAGATGGAAATAAGTGAAACTGGACTATTCACATTAGCAAGCAAAAAAAAATGAAATATTTAGGAATTACTCTTACGAAAGAAGTAAAAGACTTATACAGTGAAAATTATAATACACTGAAAAAGGAAATTGAAGATGATCTCAGAAAATGGAAAGACATCCCTTGCTCATGGATAGGAAGAACAAACATTGTGAAGATGGCCATTCTGCCAAAACTGTTATACAGATTCAATGCAATCCCAATAGAAATACCATCAACATACCTTATAGATCTAGAGAAATCACTCCTAAATTTCATCTGGAACCAGAAGAGACCTAGAATCGCAAAGGCAATTCTAAGCAGCAAAGACAAAGCAGGAGGCATCACAATCCCTGACTTGAAGTTATACTACAAAGCAACAGTAGTAAAATCAACATGGTATTGGAATCAAAACAAAACCGAAGATCAATGGAATAGATTAGAAGATACAACCACAACTACAAACGCACTCAACCACCTTATCTTTGATAAAGGAGACAAGCAGGTTCACTGGAAGAACGACAGTCTCTTTAATAAATGGTGCTGGAAAAACTGGCTCTCCATTTGCCGAAAACTAAAGCTAGACCCATGTCTATCACCATGTACTAAATTAAAATCTAAATGGGTCAAAGATCTGAATATTAAAACAGAAACACTAAATCTATTGGAAGACAAATTAGGTAGAAACCTTGGAGACATAGGAGTAGGTAAAGAATTCATGAACAGGACTCAAACCGCACAGGAAATACTTCCCAGAATCAATAACTGGGACCATTTCTTATTAAAAAGTTTCTGCATGTCAAAAGAAATCTCCAGCATAGTGAAAAGAAAACGCACAAACTGGGAAAAGATTTTAGTGAACTCTCTCTCAGACAAGGGCCTCTTGTCTAAAACATATAAAGAATTAAAAAAACTCAGACCTCCAAAATTCAAAGATCCAATCCAAAAATGGGCATCTGAGATGAATACGCAATTCTCAGATGAAGAAACGCAAATGGCAAATAAATACATGAAAAAATGCTCATCATCATTGGTCATTGAGAAATGCAAATTAAAACCACACTGAGATACCATCTCACTCCTGAAAGAATGGCCAGGATCAAGAAAACCAACAACAAATGCTGGAGAGGCTGTCGGGAAAATGGAACTCTCCTGCACTGTTGGTGGGAGTGTAGACTGGTACAGCCTTTGTGGAGATCTGTCTGGAGATTTCTCAAAA